ACTAATCAGCTGGTGATCCTCAAGGTACCTCATGAGCTGGCAGTTTACAATGGACTCCATTGTTTTGGAGAACAAGGAGGTGATGGCGATAGGCCGGTAGTTGGACGGGTCTGAGCGGTCGCCTTTTTTAGGGATCGGGTGGACGAAAGCCGTCTTCCATGATTTTGGGACTACGCCTAGGGAGTAGGAGTACCGGAAAAGACGCGTTAAAACCGGTGCCAACTCTGGAGCACACGTCCTCAGCACAATTGGGGGGGATTCCATCAGGCCCACTCGACTTATAGATGTCCAGGGAGAGGAGTGCTTTGCGAACCGAGCGCTGAGTGAACTGCACTTCCGGCATGGAGCACTCACACCGCGGGATGGTCGGCGGCGTACTCCCCCCGTCATCGAGAGTCGAGTTAGACGCAAAGAAAGAGCCTAGAAGATCGGCTTTCTCCTTTGCGGTGTGGGCCAGTGAGTCGTCCTCCCTGTGCAGAGATGGAAGAGATGGCTGACAGAAATTCCCCTGGACAGCCTTGGCGAGAGACCAGAATGCACGGGTTCCAGAAGGAAGACGAACTAGTCTCTCGCCAATTCTGCCTATGTGCTCTGACTTTGCCTTGGCAATGACTCTTTTGAAGGACCTAGAGGCGGAATTATACTTCTTTTTTAGAGCGCTGGTGTTTACATCCCTGGACGCTGAAGCGTCAGCCCAGGCTCGGTAGCACTCCTGCTTATAGCATGATGCTATTTTACAGGAGCGACCAAACCATGGCTGAGATTTGCCTCCAATGGGCACCACAGAGGAAGGAATAAAAAGTTCCATACCCTGAAGTACCACATCAGCGACAGAATCCGCAACAACGTTGGGATCATCCGGCGAGAAGCAAACCCGCCCCCAAGGGTAGGATGCAAAGAAAGACCGCATCCCATCCCAATCGGCTGACCTATAGTGCCAAACACGGCGGCAGCCTGCAGAATGCAACCGCGATTTCAGCGTGAGTGGCACCACACTCCGGACAAGACAATGGTCCGAGGAGCCTAAAGGGGCGTCGACGGAAATCTGATATCCGTCCGGGTGAGAGGTCAGCAGAAGGTCCAACAGGGAAGGTGCATGATCCTCCACATCTGGAATCCGCGTAGGCGAAGTAACCAGTTGTGTCAGACCATATGCCAAGGCAAAATCATGAACAGATCTCCCCGCATGATCGGTTAAACGTGAACCGAGCCATTCGGCGTGATGGGCGTTAAAGTCGCCGAGGATCACGATCTCTGCGGAGGGGATCTGCTGTAGCAACGAATCTGCAGCCATTTGGACGTGGTCGAAGAGTCGGTCTGTTTCGGCATTACCGCTATGGGACCTATAGAGGCACCCGTAGATGCGCGGATGGTCGTCGCTGTCTACGCGTAGCCAAAGGATGGACAGGTCCGAACCTTCAAGTCTGCCGAGGCGTCGAGAACAGATGTCCTCTCTGACGTAAACGCAAACTCCAGCCCGAGGCACAAAGGAGTGTTCCAGTTTGTACCCCGGGCAGGAGAGATACGAGACATCAGCCGGAGAGGACACCTGCGTCTCGGTCAGAAAGAGCAGAGCCGGCCTCGCCGTCTCGAGATGGTAGTGGACGGCGTTTAGGTTAGAGTGAAGTCCCCTGATATTGCAGAAATTCACGGACAGCGTGGCAGGGGTCGCCTTGGTCTTGTTGCTCCGTTTGCCCCGAGCAGTTTTAGTCTTGAGCGGAATATTGCCCCCCAGAATACGCGGGGCAGCCTGAGCACCCACGCTCAGAAGTGGAGAAACATGGTCGTGGATGCTCAGCGAGGGATTCTCCAGGGGTGCTGGTACCCTCCTGGGGTAGTCTATCATTTAATTCCGCTACCATGTTGATGGGGGGGGGGGGATTTGGGCCTCCGGCCACCTGCACTCACCAGACGAAACGCGGAAACAGAGCTTCCACTTCACGCCGGTATTCTGTGAGGTCGTGGTACCACCCCGGCCTTGAGCCGGCCCATACGTGCGACAGCAAAGCTGCCGCGTGGCTCTACCACTGTTAAAAGCTGTATTAAAAGTTGCAACATTCCGCCCTATTCTATTTCCATCCCATCTCTTATACAAATCCTATAATGTCCTCTCAGTGCGCCAGTTATTCGTTAAGAGTACGTTACTAAAACAGCACTTAAAATTGCCCTACAGAAGAGAGGTCTCTGATAAAAGACGCAAAGATAAAATAATTGAAACTAACATTAGAATAAGGTATTATTTCATGCATAAATTTTTTACATTCCTCGGCCCTTTTTTGTATAATCAAGTCAATGCAATTTTGTGCATAATATATCCATTAAAAATGGCAGACTGTAAAAAGGTAATTTGAACATGGTAACAAAATTTGTCATACGATGATACGGAGAAGTTGCTCATTGTTTTAAGTTAATTAATATCATAAGTAAATTAATGATAATATATTTTACCCAAATAACCCTTATTAGTTAGTACGTTATTCATTTTATATAAGAAACAGAAAATATTTGTCAATGTATCTTTTAGCACATACACCTGAGATACAGGTTTAACCTAGTTCAGGTGCCTGTTATTGTAGACTATTTTTAAGTTAAGACTTATTGGAATAATTTGTACAGTTTATCAAAATAAAATAAATTATTATTATTATTGGGGGGTATCAATATAGTTTTCTCATCTGGTTGGGTTCTATAAATATATAATTATAAAAGGAAATGAAAAGATAAATATACATAAATATCAATAAAATTAAATAAATATAAAAATACATAAATAAATAAAAGCCCAACCAGATGGAGGCCCACGGCAGAAATAATTACGGTCGGCAGACCACCCCACATGTCGGTCACCTCGTGAGCCAGGTCCAGTTATTTTGTTTGCTTATCTGTTTCGGCTTTCACGAGGTTCTCATCATACGGAATGGTAAAGTCGACCAAAAATATCCTTGACTGTGCCCGGTCCATCAGCACAATATCAGGCTTATTCGCAAGAATAATCCTGTCTGTGATGAAGGCCCGGTCACAATAGAACCTGGCGCGATCATTTTCGAACACGGCTTCCGGCAAGTACTTGTAATACGACAATTTCCGATCCACGAGACAGTATTTCAGAGCAAGCTCCTGGTGAAGAATTCTGGCTGCTAGGTTGTGTCTGTGCAAGTACTCAGAGTTAGAAAAAGCCGAACAACCGGAGATGACATACCTAAGTGACTCACCGGGATGGCGATAAGCTCGACAGATGTCGACTGTGCCATCCTTTAGGATGTATCTCCGATAGTTGTTGGTCTTAATAACCTGATCCTATATTGCACAGACAAAACGTAGCCAGTGGAGGGAGGCTACTGCCTCTACGAAAGGCTCATGTAGAGTCTTGTAGAACCACCCGTGGAGCTCCTTCTCCTTCCATACGGTCTCCCGGTCGGAAATGCTCTACATTGCCGGGTCTTGCCATTGCTCGTTGGCTAAAGATAGAGGGGTGAGTCCTTTATCACAAGAAATGACGTCCTTATAGAATGGATCATCCAATCTCGCCAGGAAGTAATCACGGAGGCTGCACACTTCGCGATTATGCATGGTGAGTGCGCTCAGGAATCCACGTCCACCATGCTTCCGAGGCAAGTACAGCCTCATTACCGACGATCTCGGATGATGCATCCTATGGGACGTCATGGTAGTGTAGACTTTTCTATCCAGGGCGTTAAGTTCAGTCTGAGTCTACCTGAGTATGCCAAAGGTATACATGAGGACAGGCATGACCCAGCCGTTATATCCGTGTGCCTTATTCACAGCGGACAAAAGGCTGTTAAGCACTTTGGTCAATCGTGCATAAAACATGTCGCAAACTGACTGTTTCATACCAGCCTCATCGATACCGATGTTCTGTGACATACCCAAGTATCGGTATGTTTCAGCCTCGGAAAGGGTCCTTAAGTTGTCGGGCATAGATAAATCTATGCCCTCAGAGTTAGCAATCCTTCTCCTTTCAACATGGAGGACCGCACACTTATCCGTCTCCAGCTCCATTCCAATGGAATTGCTAAATTCACAAGTGATTTTTAGCAGTTCCATAAGATGGGATCGACTAGAGGCGAATAACTTGAGGTCATCCATATAGAAAAGGTAGGTCACTTTTGTCCCTCCTTTCCGTAGCTAAAATCCCCTCCCGGATCCCTCCAGTAAGGTACTAAGAGGGTTCAGAGGAGAGCAGAACCAGATTGGACTCAGACAATCGCACTGGAAAATACCCCTTCTTATCCTTATGTGGTTCTCCGCAGCCATCATCCGCTCACCCAGATGACAAAGGATCGTACTCCACTGCCCTATACACCGCTCGAGGAAGTCTCTCTCTGTACAGTCTATCTTGTACAGCTCGAGGACTCTCTTTAGCCATGAATGGGGCACCGAGTCGAATGCCTTTCTGTGGTCTATCCAGGCGGCGGAAAAGTTCCGACGGTTGCGTTTCACCACTTTGCCAATGACCGCGTCAATGAGGAGTGGTTCCTTAGTTCCACGACCACCGCCCCGACATCCATTTTGCGCGCAGCATCACTTGATTTGAGTCCAGGTGACGAGTGATTCTCGCGCTCAAAATGGATGTTAGTGTCTTGTATATGGTCGGTAGACACGTGATGGCGCGGTATTTTCTCGGGTCTGTGGTACCCGGGTCTTTAGGAACCAAATGGGTGATACCAGTAGTGAAGAGGCTCGGGAGCGACTTCTGTTTGAGAGCCTCTTGAAACTGTCGGGCGAGCACATTGTGACACACCACGAACCCCTTCAGCCAGTAGTGATGCAGCCCGTCGAGTCCCGGATTTTCTAGTTCGGGCCCTACGGACCCCATCAACTACGTCATCCGATGTTATAATGACGGGGTCCATGGGCCTTATACTCGCACACTGACTCGCCACAATTTCCGTCCAAGGGCCCTCGCTGTGGTTTACAGGCTCTGACAACAGGCCGCGCCAGAATGCTACAGTGTCGGCCTGATTCGGTGCTGGGCTCGTTCAACTTACCATTGGGCGCTCCAATGATTCATAGAGCCTCTTCTGATCACTCTGGAAGAGACGATTCTGGTTGAAACATGTCGACCTCTCGGTATATCGCCGAATCCGCTTTCCCCAAGCAGCGATTCTCTGCTTCAGATCATCTATACGCTCTGTCAGTTTTTGCGTTATATCCGGCTGGGACAAACTGACATTTGTCCCAGCAAACGCCATCCTGACGGTGCGCACAATTCTTGGCCTGTTATTGCCTGATCTGAAGCATATTAGTCTGCCGATGAGAGCTCTAGACTTTGCGATACGTTCCTCAATTTTTCTTCTCCATGCTGGGATAGCGCTACTTTGGCCAGTAGCGCGTCCAGCCGTGGAAACCTTGGCGCCTATGATACGGCAGACTGCCAGCGCGGTGTCAAAAATTGAGTCCATCTCGCAAATGTCCCGGCTGGCTTCCAAATAGGTCACCAGCATTGGGTTCAGAGTCCTCACGACAGCCCGATTCCGCTTGCTTAGGGCTATGCAGGGAAGTCGCGGTCGATTTTCGAGAGACGTACTGCGCGTTTCCACAACCGCCTCTTCCAATGTACTCCCCATATGTTCTAATTCCAGTTCCTGGGCGACTGTTCCATCATCGTTTGAATCAACCAAAACTGGGGTATTCACGACGGCATCCACGTTTGCGGGTTGCTCTACAATTTGTGGCGCCGCATCCTCAGCCGTAGCATTTTCATCCGATGAGGTAACAGACTCACATCGTAGCCGTTTGATTTCGGCGACATCAAATATATTTAAGCGCAAGATATACCGAACTAGGTTTGCCAGGTTTTGCTCTGTGACGGTTAAAGATGGCTCCAGCTCAGCAAAAAGACGATGCATCTTAGCCCGATACCCCAAACATCCAGTTTCTTCCCATTTTGCCATAAAGTACGCCCGCAGTGCGTTTGCGTTCATTGTTTGTGACCAACGCATGCGACGTGCTCCACCAGCGGCCGGGTGCCGCTTGCTGAGTCCGAGAAGACCCAGCCGACACCAAACCTTCTGGTGGGTATTATGGATTCGGAGGGCTGCTAGGTGACCGTGCAGCTCCTCGCGCTCGGCTGGCGGCCCGCATGCTGCCGCGTCCAGCGCCAGCTCCAGACGCGCCCCGACGACCCCCAGGCAGCGGCCCTATGCGCATTCATCTTTGTGCCATCATCCATTTTATGGGCGCCATATAACAGGAGACGCCCAATCCCGGCACCGTTTCGTGGTTCGGTCATATGCAAAAACGGACACACAATTTTGCCTAGGCACGGCGCTCACACCTCTTGGCAGGGTGCTGACTGAATACGCCACCGTAGCAGTTTTGTCACATAACTGTTACTTCAGCGGGCGATGGGGTCGTCACTTTCCTACGCCTTTAAAATTATTATTATTATTGGGGGTTATTGATAGAGTAATCACATCTGGTTGGGCTGGATAAATACATAAAAGGAAAAAATAACTGTACATAAATATATATTCAATATACTAACATAAATAAATAAATAATACATAAATAAATAAAAGCCCAAACAGATGGAGGCCCTCGGCAGGGGAGACCAAACGGCCGAGGGTTAGGGGGAAAGGGAAAGAAACCGGCGGACGATGCGCGCGGTATCGAGGAGCACCGCCTTTTTGCATTTGAGCCCGGAGCGGTCCGTCACGGAGTCCCAGTCGCCTCAGATGACCCGAGAGGCTGACTGGGAGTAGCCCATTCGCAGAGACACTACAGGTATAATTTTGGCCGGCAGACCACCCCACATATCAGTTACCTCGTGAGCCAGGTCCAGATATTTTGTTCGCTTATCTGTTTCGGCTTTCACGAGGTTCTCGTTATACGGAATGATAATGTCGACCAAAAATATCCTTGACGGTGCCCGGTCCATCAGCACAATATCAGGCTTTTTCGCAAGAATAGTCCTGTCTATCATGATGGCCCGGTCCCAGTAGAGCCTGGCGCGGTCATTTTCGAGCACGGCTTCCGGCAAGTACTTGTAATACGGCAATTTCCGGTCCACGAGACCGTATTTCAGAGCAAGCTCCTGATGTAGAATTCTAGCTACTAGGTTGTGTCTGTGCAAGTACTCAGAGTTAGGAAGCGCCGAATAACCGGAGATGACATGCCTAAGCGACTCACCAGGAAGGCGACAAGCTCGACAGATGTCGATGGTGCCATCCTTTTGGATGTATCTCCGATAGTTGTTGGTCTTAAAAACCTGATCCTGTATTGCACAGACAAAACCCTCGGTTTCCCCGAATAGGTCACCGAAACGTAGCCAGTTGAGGGAGGTGACTGTATCTACGAAGGGCTCATGTAGAGCCCTGTAGTACCTCCCGTGAAGCTCCTTCTCCTTCGATACGGCTTCCATGTCGAAAACGCTAAGCACTGCTGGGTCTTGCCATTGCTCGTTGGCCAAGGATAGAGGGGTAAGCCCTTTATCACTAGAAATGACGTCATTATAGAATGGATCATCCGATCTCGCCAGGAAGTAATGACGGAGGCTGCACACTTCACGATTATGCATGGTGAGGGCACTCAGAAAGCCACGCCCACCATGCTTTCGCGGCAAGTACAGCCTCATTACCGACGATCTCGGATGATCTATCCTATGGGATGTCATGGTAGTGCGAACTTTTCTATTCAGGGCGTTAAGTTCAGTCTGAGTCCACCTGAGTATGCCAAAGGTATACATGAGGACAGGCATGACCCAGCCGTTATATGCTTGTATCTTATTCACACCGGACAAGAGGCTGTTAAGCACTTTGGTCAAGCGTGCATAAAACACGTCGCAAACTGACTGTTTCATACCAGCCTCATCGATACCGATGTTCTGTGACATACCCAAGTATCGGTATGTTTCAGCCTCGGAAAGGGTCCTTAAGTTGACGGGCATAGATAAATCTATGCTCTCAGAGTTAGCAACCCTTCTCCTTTCAACACGGAGGACCACACACTTATCCGTCTCCAGCTCCATTCCAATGGAATTGCTAAATTCAAAAGTGATTTTTAGCAGTTCCATAAGATGGGAGCGACTAGAGGCGAATAAATTGAGGTCATCCATATAGAAAAGGTAGGTCACTTTTGTCCCTTCTTTCCGTAGCTGAAATCCCCTCCCGGATCCCTCCAGTAAGGTACTGAGAGGGTTCAGAGAGAGGCAGAACCAGATTGGACCCAGACAATCGCCCTGGAAAATACCCCTTCTTATCCTTATGTGGTTCTCCGCAGCCATCATCCGCTCACCCAGATGACAAAGGATCGTACTCCACTGCCCCGTACACTGCTCGAGGAAGTCTCTCTCTGTACAGTCTATCTTGTACAGCTCGAGGACTCTCTTTAGCCATGTATGGGGCACCGAGTCGAATGCCTTTCTGTGGTCTATCCAGGCGGCGGAGAAGTTCCGACGGTTGCGTTTTATCACTTTGCCAATGACCGCGTCAATGAGGAGTGGTTCCTTAGTTCCACGACCACCGCCCCGACATCCATTTTGAGCGCGTGACATCACCTGATTTAGCTCCAGGTGACGAGTGATTCTCGCGCCCAAAATGGATGTCGGTGTCTTATATATGTTGGGTAGACACTTAATGGGGCGGTATTTTCTCGGGTCTGTGGTAACCTGGTCTTTAGGAACCAAATGAGTGATCCCAGTAGTGAAGAGGCTAGGGAGCAACTTCTGGTTGAGAGCCTCTTGAAACTGACGGGCCAGCACAGCGTGGCACACCACGAACCCCTTCAGCCAGTAGTGATGCAGCCCGTCGAGTCCCGGACTTTTCTAGTTCGGGACTCTACGGACCGCCTCAGCTATGTCATCCGGCGTTATGATGACGGGGTCCATGGGCGTAATACTCGCACACTGACTCGCCACAACTTCCGTCCATGGGCCCTCGCTGTGGTTTACGGGCTCTGACTACAGGCCACGCCAAAATACGAGTGTTAGCCTGATCCGGCCCTGGGCCCGCTCCACATACCTGTGGTCGCTCCAATGAATCGTAGAGCCTCTTCTGATCACTCTGGAAGAGACGATTCTGGTTAAACCACCTTGACCTCTCGGTAAATCGGCGTATTCGCTTCCCCCAGGCAGCGATCTTTTGCTTCAGGTCGTCTATACGCTCCGTTAGTTTCTGCGTGATATCCGGCTGGGACAAACTGATATTTGTCCCAGCAAACGCCATTCTAACGGTGCGCACAACACTCGGTCTATTATTACCCGACCTGAAGCTTGTCAGTCTGCTGATAAGGGCCCTTGCATTTGCGATTCGGTCCTCAATTCTTTTTCTCCAAGCTGGGATGGCGCTACTTTGTTTAGTAGCGCGTCCAGCCATAGGAAGTTTGGCGCCAATAATACGGCAAGCTGCCACTGCGGCGCCAAAAAGAACTGAGTCTGTCTCGCAAAGGTCCCGGCTGGCTTCCAAATAGGTTACCAGCATTAGGTTAAGAGCCCTCACGACAGCCCGATTTCGCTTGCTTAGGGTTATGCGGGGAAGTCGCGGTCGATTTTCGAGAGGCATACTGCGCGTTTCCAAAATGGTCTCTTCCTATATACTCCTCATTTGCTCTAGTTCGTGGGAGACCATTTCATCATCGTCCGGATCAACCACAACTGGATGATCCATGGCGGCTTCTACGCGTGGCAGCTGGTCTGTCGCCTGAGGAGCCGCATCCCCAGCCGTGGCCAATTCATTCGATGAGGGAATAGCCTCACGTCGTAGTCGTTCGAGCTCGGCATCATCAAATATTTTCGAGTGCATGATGTACCGAACTCGGTCTGCCAGGTTTTGTTCCGTGACGGGAATAGACGGCTCCAGCTCAGCAAAAAAGCAATGCATCCGAGCCCGATACGCTATCCCGGCAGTTTCTTCCCCTTTTTGCCCTATAGTATGCCCGCAATGCGTTTGCGTTCACATCCCTTGTCCAACGCATGCGGCGCACACCACCAGCGGCGGATGCCGCTTGCCGAGTCCGAGAGGAGTCTGCCGATATCAAGCCGTCTGGTGGGGATGATGGATGCGTGACGCTGATAGGTGATCTTGTAGCTCCTCGTGTTCGGCTATCGGCCCGCATGCTGCCGCGTCCAGCGCCAGCTCCAAACGCGCCCCGGCGACCCCCAGGCAGCGGCCCTATACGCTTTCTATTAAAATCCATCATCCATTTTTGGGCGCCAGTTAACGGGAGACGCCCAGGCCTGGCACCGTTTCATTGTATCATTGTACGGCCGTAAGCACAAACGGGCCTTTGCACCCTGAGTACTGCCGAGGCACGGCGCTCTCACCTCTTGGCAAGACGCTGACTGACTGCACCGACGTAGCAGTTTTGTCACTTAACTGTTTCGTCAGCGGGCGATGGTGTCGTCACTTCCCTACGCCTTTTTTTTATTATTATTATTATATCGTGAACTTGGACGCCGACCCCAGATAATGGGAAATGTTTTAGAAAATGATGATATTATTATATCGTGGTGAGTCTAAATAATAAGAAACTGTGGTTGCCAAGCGATCTACCAAGCGGTGCAATCGATGATTGCCCACGTATTATAGGCCTTAATGTATCAATAAATAAACTATACTCTATATAAAGCAAAATATAGAGAGGAAACCTTACATAAAGAATAGCCGGATCGCACAAATTAAATACAAATAAATAGCATAACTGATAATCTCCTCCTAGTGGAATTGCAGTAAAAGAAGTAATATTCAACATTTATTACTTATTTCTGAACAAAAAAATTAAATATTGAGGGTTAGTGTAAGATAATACTAAGTGTATGTTCATTAATGTTTTTCCTTTTATAAGTGATTGCGTAAGGTGAGTGGTTACTATGGACCATAGAAATCTATATCTATCCTCGATTGAAAATCAAAATGCAGATGCGTTGGCATCTCTGAGAACTAAGATGGAATGCCTTGTTTCGAGTGAAAAGGTTTCCGGTTCTCCACACTCACCATATGAAACACAGCAGCTTCAAGCTGCTACTTTACGCTGGTATTCTGTGAGAGCGTGATCGTACCCCGATCGAACCGACCTATTCGTGCCACAACTATAAAATAGCTGCTACTAGAAAAGGCATACTACGTGAAATTAAAAATAAAGAAGCGTGACATTTCTTAATAAACGTCTCGCTTGTTGCACTTACTTACTTGCAACTTAGTACTCATAAATCTAGATTGCTTGAATAAATAACTTACCATAGACACAAAAAAACAGTAATAAAATCATCGCGTTGTGTATTTGCAACTTGGGGTTGCAAAATGAAGTAACTGCCCCAACGTCGAATTTAAAAAATTATCTCCTTTTGTTTCAGACTGAATCACGCGCTAGCTGGATTACAGTCGTGGTGGTGGCATGCTTGTAACGTATCGCTTCACGCCGCATGTTGCGCGCTGGTCACAAGAGCTTGTATTACAATAGCTCGTCTGCAACGTCCATTTGCTGCGTTGGCGGCCCTATTATTTGCAGTGCATCCCGTACACACTGAAGCGGTAACTATTTAAATACATAAAATTGACTTTAATTACAATAGGAGTCTCACTTGCTTTCGTTGTATTATTCTAAATTGAGCCTTAATTTATAATAATTAAAATTGTATTTATGCCTAAAACTGTCTCAAGAATTTTTAGACATATAATAAAACAGCAGTTGTAGCTAAAAACGCAAGCAACCCGGGTTCGATTCCCACCAGCAGCAATGAACTTGTTAATTGCAATTTTGTCAAGAGTAGCAAGGGAATCGACTATCGCATTTTAAGACGTGTCACATCTTTGACCCTACTTCTCGTTGTCAGTCTAGGGTATTTTACGTCTGGCGTAAAAGGGATGGTTTTACTGCCATTTATCTGAATCGATAAGATTTCCTCGCATTTCCCATAGTTCCCCTTCCACCCATGGGATGAAATAAAAAATGATCAGGTGAGCTGCATTTACGTTTTCCCCTCCTAATAAAAACAACAGCACGTTGGATTTCAGTTCCATGATTTGAATGAGTCGTCAAAGCTTCGTTTTTAACCGACTTTAAAAAAGGAGGAGGTACCTTAGAACTCTTTTCTAGGTGAACTTACTTTGATGACACTTTTTTTAATTAAAAATCTGGTGCTTTTTATGTAATTCCATAGTAATGTGATCAAGACCTGACCAGTAGTTTTTGAATTATCCTTAATAAATCGTATTTAATTGACTTCGACTATATTGATGATGGTTTTGTTTATATTGAAGTCTGTTGCGCAAAATTTGTAATTGTACCACTTATTATTAGCAGGATTATAAAGTAGAGGAGAGGAGAGGTTGGCATTTGTATTACTATAGATTACATTATAGGGGATCCCCCCTACTTGCCATTGTTGGATAGTATTAGTGGACTCTCTCACGCACAACCACGCGGCAAACCTTTACAAACCCCTCTGTAGTAACACACTACGTTGAATAATAATTATCACTGATTAATATTTTTTACTTTTTTGACAGGTAGCTGGAGTGGTTGGGAGGGCAGATGTCTTGGCGTGCATATTTTTTCTGTTATCTCTTTTAGTCTACCATAGGTAAATATATAATTTAATGACATAAAAAAAATTATACTTATAAATGAGGTTTGTTGTAGTTTCTATATTTCCTTTAATATGCTTATTTAAAGAGTAATAATGTTATTTTAAAAACACTATAACTTAAGTACAATCATCTATATATACACCAAAAACACAAGTAAGCTAGAATGCTTACTTTAGCCGGGTATGATTAAGAAGATGTTGGAAATTTTATAACGTTGATACTCTTCTCTTCATATCTTTTGTTTAAAAAGAAAGATTCTTCTTTTATCCGATGTCTCGAAAAGGTTTTTAATAGTATTCAGTTTTATAGGGGTTAGAGCCTCGTGAAATATCGAACAGCTGGGCCCGACCGGGGTACGAACACGCCCTCACATAATGCCAGGTTAAATTAGCAGCTTAATGCTGCTGTGTATTGTATAGTGACTGTAGATAACTCGAGATCCATTTAACTGGAAACGAAGAATTCTATCTCAGTTCTAAGGGATGACAACCTATCTATATTTTGATTCTTAATTGAGGATAAATTTAGATGCCTATGGGCCACAGCATCCGTTTATGATCAAGTATATTATGTTTTCGTTCGTCACCCTTATTCTTTGAAGAAAAGGAATAAAAATATATTAATACATCTTATATATGTATATTTAAAATAATTCCAATTCATTCTTCATTATATAAGAAAAAAATAGATTATCACATGCTGTGTTTATTGGTACATCGCAACCAATTCGCACAAAAAACAGTTTGTCATTTATTCTTACAGATCAACAAGCAGTAAGAAGTGCGTGTGGTTGAGCGTTGTTCTTGGAGCACTCAGTATGCTCGCAAAAGAGACTGGCGTTACAGTGCTTCTTCTAAATATTGTCATCGATTTTTATAGATGTTGGCCGTTTGTAAAAAGGTAATTCTTTAAATAATATATTTAAAAAACACTGATTAAGGCGGAGATAGGAGATTTGTTGACATTGACGTGTTAAATATGTTAGCTAAGACTCTTGCCTTATTTAATCCTGTAAGCTTTTTAGAGTCAACTTAAGGATTTAGCTGAAAGATTTTTAGTCGCCAAAACAAGTCACAATTTTTTTGTGATTTATTTAATCTACACAGATAGTCGGACATAGGGTGAAAACTTTAGTGAATTCCGCGACCTTGCAGTTTCTCCCGTAAGAGTTTTAAGAATCGACTTAAGGATATACCTTTTTAGTTTTCATTCACTTATAGATTGTGCTGACTGGTAGCGGGAAATAGCATCAGGAGCGTGAGTTAAGAGATACTGACACCAATCCACAAATAAGCTTTGCATTTACAGCAAATACTTTAGCCAAGTAAAAGTAAACATTGCCCTCTCCCCTGATCTCTGAGTGACCTTGAGCTTCTTCATATGGCTAGCACCCATGACCTATACACAAACACAAATATAAGTAATTAAAACATCTATGTGTATTTTTAAAATTTCATCTTACAAATAGTTTCAATGTCTGACTCTAACTATAACAAATATTGTCTGCCTTTCTAAGAATCGACATAACATTTGTACAGGTTATACATATACAATTATATTTACAAACGAGAATTCTGATATTAATAAAAAGAAATTAAATTTAATATCTTCAGCTCAATGTTTATTTTTACAACAAAAATAATCCATAGCTCAAATTAATGACAATACACTAAATTGTATTTTAAAATAAAACGACAGAAAAGTTTTTCTTATAACATAATCTAATAAGTAATTAAAGTAAATTATTTATTCAGATTAATATTTTTGTATATCATACATTTTACTAATGAAAATTCTGCTGTTAGGAGTTTTTAAAAAAGCATGGTTGAAAATTTCTTAAACTTACTTTATCTCCGGTGTGTTCTCTATCGAATGAATTTATGTGGTTTTAAAAACGTGTGCTAAAAATATTGCTTTTAAACGAGTGACTTAAAATTTATTAAAAGGTGTTTATTAGAACCATTTTAATGATATAATATTTTCTTGGTGATGACGAAAAGATAGTTATTATTTCATTTTTCATCAAAAGATTATTTTATTTCATAAATTATGCTGTTTAAAGTTAACAGATTTCTTACATGTATGTTCTTCAAATAATGAAACTTCCACTGAAGCACCAAACTGAGACCCCAAAATGGTAATGATAATGAAGTGTGGACATCATTAGTCAAATGTTGAACAGTGTTATATACTTAACTGAAATAACTTATATAGGTATAAATTTAAGGGACTATTTAAATATTTTGGTAACGATAAATTCATTTCTTAATATTCTGAATATCTGTTTTCTAAGTCACAGTCTTAGGTTCGAATTCAATCAGAGACACAAAAAGTGTCCCCACAAAAAACAGATATTATGAGTATCAGGATGTTTTAATTGCATACAATCGTATATGCATACAACTTTCATGCCTTTTTGCTACCACGAGTTCTTGGTATCATTAGAACAGTGATTATTTATATTTACGCAAATAATTCACAGTGAGTTTTACAGATTTTTATTATTTATATTAAATGTAAATCCGAATTCGATAAATTGGTTTTATTCAAATGTAGGAAAAAAATTGTTATAAACACGTTAAAAAATAGCCTTTGGGTGTAAATATGTTGCGGATCTGATTCGAGACCATATCGTGTCATATCGATGTCTGATAAGATAACAAATAACTTTTCTAATGATATGCGGAAGTCGTATTATTTACCCGGAAGAAAATCATTGTAATATTTTAAGCATTACACTAGTATTTCATTAGCAAAATTTTAACACATCTTTGTATTCTCAGGTCTTTTTACTCAATGAAAATCGAGAAGAAATGCGCTGGTCTGTCAGTCCGAACATTCAAAGTCTTAGTGTCCCTTGCATTACTGGTATATCTCCGGTTGGCGTTACTGCAAGGAACATGGCCGTCTTTTTCTCCTCAGGACAACCCTGCTGCTTTCCATCCTAATTTTCTTGTAAGGTAATTTAAAAAAAAAAAACTTCTTTCTCAACTTTTTGTTAAGTACCTTTTATCATGAATTGTTAGCATAACATGATCCAAACAAACGGTTTTCTTCATCGGTTATATTTCGTAAAGATAGTGAGTTGAATAATTTGTCAGCTTCTGCCTTTGTGTTCGATTATTATGTAGGTAGATAGATGTCTTTAAGGCAAGGGTCAATAGGTTTATGTTAAGTCAGTGCGCGTTGGCATCTTTGACTGCATTACTAATTACCATCGGTTGGGATAGTAATCAAGCACTGGTTTCTATTACTAAAAATAAATTAATAAATTAGCGTTCAGTTCAAAATAGATCGAATTTTTTGATCTCATTTTTTAGGATAATTTTTGTTTATTAAAATTCACAAAAGGTCGAGTATAATTTTTCTGTAAATTCATTCGATGTGAACGTAGTAGAGCAACGTTGCGGCTGTATTATGGTTGCAGCACGAATGGGTCTGCACGGGTATAGAAGGAACACGCTCTCAGAGCATACAAGCGTAAATACAGTATTAATGCTGCTATATTTCAAATGGTGATTGACGGGAACCAGAAAACCCTTTTTCATCTATGACGCATTTCATTTTGGTCCTTTGGGGTGACAACACGTCTGTGTTTCACTCCTAATCGAAGATAGATGTAAGTGTATATGGGCCACAGTATTTATCATAACCATGTATTGTGTGTGCTCTTTTTTGTGTGACCCTTTGTCACCTTCTAGTTGAAAAAGAAATGTTAAAATTTATTTAATATGTACCTTTCTTTATACCTATCTTTTTTTAATTCAAACAAAAAACCTTTAGCTTTATTATCATATCTGAAACAAATAATATGTAAAGGCTCACACACAGTGTTTCATTATGAATATTAATGTTAACTCCAAAACGTATCAGTAAGCTGAAGTTGCAATGGGCTAGCCATAACTTACATTGAAGAACCAGCGGACGTTGAAGAAGAGCCCTTGTCGAGTGGCAGCCAAATACCGGTAAGCGTATTATGGTTGCAGCACGAAGCCCCCCACTAAATGAAGTGACGACCTGGTAAAACATGCAGAAAGTTGGTGAATGGTGATGACTCGGACTTTGTTATGTAGGATGCCTTTGCTCAACAGTTCACTTGTGATGGCTGTAATGATGGCGATGATAATAAAACCAGAACAATCTGGTTAATAAACGAGCAGGATATCTTTGCGGAAAAAATAAAAAATGGGTATTTTGACCGATTTCTGCCGCAAAGCCTTTCCACTTTTACTTCCAAAGAATCGTTTCAAAGGTCCTAACACCATCTATTATTCATTAAAGTATTTGTTGTAATTTACTGAACATTTGAATACAATAACATTTTTAGGTTAATGACCTTCAGCTACCTGGCATTTTTGAACTGGTGGTTGCTTCTCTGTCCATGGACACTAAGTCACGACTGGCAAATGGGATCAGTTCCGCTCATCACCAGCGGCTGGGATCCTAGAAATTTACTCACATGTGCAGCTTTTGTTGCGCTGTTGCTTCTGTGCTATCGCTGTTGCGCCGATATCATGGTAATTACATTACATTTTTTAAACTTGGTAATTTTAAGGTCCTCATTCATTATACAATTACTCCTGTATGTTCTTTAAGAATCGACTGTGTAAAAATTTGCACGCCATTACCCCATACCACCCTGTGGGAGCAGAAACGGATCAGGAGCTGGGCAACAGCGTCCTCCTAACAACCACTAAACATAAAATCTGTGGCTGCCAACCCGCTTGCCAAGCTTGGCAACTATGGAAATTATCCTCTTTATGAGGCAATCTGTGGGAGAGCTCTGTGTTCAGCAGTGGACTTTAATAGGCTGTAACTGTAAAAGTATGACGTCTTTTGCAGCGTAATAAAGCTAAAGCGCATATATAATGTAATAAAACATTATATAAGCATAGAATAATCGCTTTTTGGTTACGTGTGGTAAATTTAGGGAACCTTTATTGGTAAAGAGACTCTTCATCTTAGTCCTCATGAATAAAACCGTAAATTATTTGATTTATGATTCCTTTTTACAATAATTCTTAACCGAGGGATAAAAGTGGACTGTATACTCAAGCGTCACCCTTATTCTATAAGTATCGGCGTGCCGATTTATTAATACTATATATTATTTTATTATTAATAATTTATGTTTTGTAAGCTTTTTATAAGAAGGATTTAACTTAACGTCACACTTAGCTCGTGAACTGACAATCGCAGTACACTGCTTTGTGTGCTCTCTCACACATAATTTGCAAAACACTTCAACAAAAAGAGGTGGAACGTTCATAAATCTGTGCTACATACAAAATGATCAGACCGAGACGGGTAACAGCGCTGGCAACATGATGTTTTTGCCATATCTAAATCTTTGTAATCCATAGGAATAGATAGATATACCAGCAAAGCTAACCTCTAAAGAAATAATAGAAGAGTCACATCACCAATAGTCCAACACTCTTGGGTTGATGACGATGACGAGATGAATTGAATATCTAATAACTAGTTATATGAAATTTGCATTTTAGATATTGTTTAATGATAATTTTTTCAATCTTCATAACATTTATTAAGCAAGTTATCAGATAATGCAATTTTTCATAATTTTTCATTTTTCATAAGTTTTCATAACTTCTATGGCAAGGCTATATATAGGCTGTGGACTTGGAAAGTCAAAATGATTGAACAGTACGACTTTTATTAGCTTATTTTATAATTTTATAGTGATCAGTGAGGTAACAATCCACCTAAAGGTGCTGCTATCAATGTAAATCTGAAACTAACTTGAAATGAAGAAGGCCTCAAGTACCTTGCCACTCCTGATGACTTTTTATATATTATTGAGGTGACAAACGAGCACACAGTGACTATTATAATACTCCTACTGGCATGTAATCGACAAGCTTAAGACCCTTCCAACGAGAGGACAGCGTTGGGTGTTTTGATGTTTGTCGGTAGAATCAGGCAAGAGCTCTGAATCGGGATGTTACTAAGTTAATTTTCCTTTTATTTTCTTTCAAAAATCTTTAAGAACTAACATCGAATTTAAAAATGATTCAGTGGTTTCTGGAGCTACCCCATACAGATACACAAACTTATAAACTTTACCACTTATTTATTTCCAAATCACATAAGGAAATTTTCCTGCACGATATAAAACATTCAGATATGGAACACCTATTTGTAGGACAATACTAACTACTTCATGCCAGATTCTAATCTCTTACACTGCACCATTGAGTTACAATATGTTTAGATATCTATGATATGGAACTCTCTATAAATATAGGATAAATTTATAACTGTGAAATACAATTTTGTTTATTTTTCCAGAACCATCGACATACGCCTGCCATTGTTGGAGTACTATTACTTGTAATTCCTTTTCTACCAGCCAGCAATTTACTTCTAACTGTCGGATTTGTCATAGCTGAACGTATTCTTTACACACCGAGGTATTTGATGTAAATTTATTGAATTAATTCTAAATGTAGTAGCAATAAACACCCATAAGAGAATGTTGATATATAGCCTTTATATGTCCCACAGCGGGGCACAGCTCTCCTCTCATTTCTGAGAGGGTTTTAGGGCAAGAATATTTCCATCGCGTTTGCCCCAATTTATGTTGACGGGCTTCACATGTCTTCGCGATAAATTTTTTTCTCCAAAATGCATGTTTCCTTACAATATGTTCCTACATCGTCGAAAACGTGGTAAATCAGCACTGAAAATTGCAATTAACAATTTCATTGGTGCCGGCGGGGATCGAACCTGGGTTGCATGCGTACTGTGAAATTTACAGCGAGCACTAAACCCCTGAAAACCTATAGTTTCATGAAATATTTCCCGAAGGGGGATCTTTTCGCAGACGCAATGGTAATCAGATACGACAGAGAGAGAGAGAGAGAGAAAGAGAGAGAGAGAGAGAGAGATCAGGCGCAGGACCAAAGCCATTACGTGAATTCTGCGGCACGGGAATGAAACAACACCAATAGCTTGATACCAGCATCTGTACCCAGTACCATATGATCAGCAGTTGCTCTTAAAACCACCAAATCCACGGACACTCCGCTGTAATTTTTAGTTAATATGTGAATAACTAGATATTTTTAAGTAAAAATTTGATCTAGTATAAATTTAGGTAGCTTTAAAAGTAGGCAAATTTCTTGGAGCTTTTGAATTTGGTTATATCTGTAATCACAAAGCATCACCAGATAATGGGTGATCGTTATTACTTTGTTGCTATCTATTGTCCGAACTGTATGTTGTGTTGTTATTGTTAGTGGCGAGAAAATAATTTTTTCTCTGGAGTTGGATCTGAAATATGATCATTAAACTGTTTACAGAAGTCTGTATTCATACATAACTAATTATTGGTATCCTGTTATATTTTTTAGCATTGGCAGTGTGATAATAACGGCTTATGGCGTTCAATTATTGTGGTACTCTAAGCCTGGCACTAAATCATTGCTGGTAGTTAGTTTAGCGGTGTTGGCTGCAAGTGGAGTAGCACGCACATATCGCAGAAATGCTGAGTGGCAGGATCGGGCAACACTATTAAGGTATTTATATCGACGCGCTAGATTAGTGGTTTTTGAGTGCGGATTCACCATATCCTTTCATACGTGGTAGAGCCACGTTGTAGCTATATTACAGTTGTAGCATGAAATAGAATACCAGTGTAAAATAGCAGTTTAATACTGCTGTGTTTCGTATGGTGGGTGTAAAGATCCGGAGACTTTTTTTTACTGGAAACGAGACATTTTATCTAAGCCCTGAGGGATGACATTAATCGAGGATGTCTATGGGCCACAGCATTTACTTACCATCAGGTGGACTGTGTGCTTTTTTGTCACTCTTATTCTATAAAAAAACACGAGTGTTGCCATTACAGAAGTGAAATATTCCTATACGATTTATTAAATACTTTTTTACAGATAACAAAACACATAAATTATCAATAAAACAAAATAAATAATTTATTTCATTACATTTTAAATTTACGAATATATTTCATTTTAGATCTACGACCTGTTTGCTAGATCTTCTGGAAAAAAACTTGATTTTACCGCATAGACGATCTCGCATCTGCGTCTGGTTATTGTTGTTAACTATTCTGATATTTGTTAATATTTTTTGACAAAATAGATGGTACCTTTAAGGGAAATCAAGCAACAAAATTTTTGTTTAACTTGTGCTAGAAGATGTAAATAGTTTCTCGACTACAAAGAGTCAATAATTCTTTAATGGGACAATTTTACAAAGTCCCAGAAAATATGTAGGCCATAACTGTCAAAAATGTTTTATGAAGCAAAAATTGCTTTATGAGGGTTATTATACTACTAAAGAGTACCTGATTGATAATAGCACCTGGGAATGAGGAGATCGATACCATATTGTTTCTAGTTGTTTCCATACTAATTGTGTAAAATAATGTGTTGTAAATTAATTTTATTTAAAACAATCTCACTAGACTTCATGCTGGCTTTTTCCAAGACAGAGGTTTTTTTCCGAACTAGTAGTAAAAGCAAAAAATACTTTCAATAAGGATTACTAGTAGTCTATATTAAATAAAAATATTCCTATATTATTCTGTTATATCATAACAATTTCCTCCAGACCGAACTTCGGTCGCGCCGGCCAGCTTCAACGGAGACTGGCCATTGGCGCAGGACCGTATTATAGTGCCTAAATATATGCGCAAACACAAGTGAAATCTCTATTACCTTACTTTCATAGTCCAATGGGACGGTCACGGGGATGTTCCACCGCCAACTTCCAGACTCTGTACAGCTGCTGAGAATTTCTTTATGAAAAACTGAATTACTAATATTTTTGGCCCGCTCAGGATTCAAACACGGATGGGCCTAAATACAACCCGCACTACTAACAACCACTAGACAAATAATACCATATTCTGTAGTTATTTGTTAAGCCCTTTTGATTTATTTAAGTTAGTAGTACCATGTCCTTTCCGTACACTTGGGATAAATTTTGTCCATCTCCTTTAATAGATAGAGTCCCTCAGCCGCCACAGTGCCATAGAAATAACTTATTTATACACAAATTTATTAAAGCTTATACACACTATTACACATATAGAAATAACTTAAAAAAAAGCTTTTCACAATTATGTACAACTGTATTCTGCAAAACATTTATAACGGCGTCAGAAAATCATGTTTGACGGTTGTCGGATTTAGGCGTAAATCATCGCCAATTGTTTGTTGCAGGTCGGATTTAGTGACTTTACCGCAAAATGCCAAACTGCACTACAACTTTGCGAACTTTCTACGCGAGACGGAGCAGCAAGAAAATGCTATCAAACATTACAAAGAAGCTTTGAGGTATTAAGATATTTTACCTTATTGGAAAGCAGTACACACATTTTAGTGATACCGAAATTACATCCACAGTATTTCAATTTTAGACCTTCGAAAAAAATTATGTTTTTTTTTTTATCTACTACTCGTATATATAAACAATGGAATTAGAAATGGTGGCCCGCCGAGCTTGTGCTGTATATAAAACACAAAACAAAAGCGGTGCTATAACGTTAAAACGTTAAATTCAAATAACGATATTATTTTTATATAGTACTTCGAAATTTTAGTTACTGGGAAAAATATTACTATATTATAATCAATTGAATTGTCTATTATAAAAAATTTTACTGATTTTGAATAGGGAGGTAAATCAATTAATAAACTATATTTATTTTTGGTAATTTAATAATTGATACTTCATAAAACGATAGTACGAGTATATTGAACATCTGTGTTTTGTTACTCGAACCTAAAATTGGAAGCACAAAAACGCTTCAGGAAAAGAATAAATAACGTTATTATAGTAGTTATAAGTGATAGGTGTGAATATAGACATCAAGACTGTGCAAGTGAATACCGAATATATGTTGCGCCATTTATAATCTCATTCTTTATCTGCGTGAATTGAACGTGTAACTAAGTGTAGAAAATAAGGCAGGTTATTCGTAAATATCATTTCTGAGTATAGGCTTCATTTAAAAAATGAGGAGGTTATTGAGCAATCAATCCACCGAAATACTTCAATATGTGTTGGTAGGCTTCACGTGTTTTCCAAATATTTTATTCCTTAGATACAGGTTTCCTTTCGGTGGCAAAGTAAAAGTAAAAGAAGTAAAAAAAGAGTAAACAAGCACTCAAAATTGCATATGAATATTTCTTCGGCACCGGTGGGGATCGAGATTAAGTTCCTCATCTATCCTTTCATTACAGCCTATAAAATTCAACTGCCGAACATAGGCCTCTGTCATAGATTGCTTCATGGGGAGATTATCTCATATTTGTCACGCTTAGCTTAGCAACTGCTGTTTTTTACTTTGATTTGTTATAGCGAAAATGCTGTTGCCCATCTCTGGCTTAATTTTCGCTCTGTCGCTTCTTAAAACACCCTCGGGACGATATGTGGTAGTGTATATTCTTACACCGCCCTTACACGGTTGCTCGCGTACTAAGAAATTTACAGTGGAAGCATAGCCCTTTGACCACTAGGTTTAATAGTACTAACAAAAGTTACACATTATGTAAAATAATAGTTTACCAATACGCATTTATTAACATCCAAAGGAAATGTAAAATTAAAAATATGTTTATAGGGTTATTATAGAGTTAATTTTTCATTTTTAAATCCCGTGGCTGTGTAATAAACGCGTAATAAATACAACTACCCCTTATATCCCTTAAATGATGTAAGTGTTGGAAAATAAAAAAGAAGATAGACAACAGCATCATCAGAGGCTGCAGCTGCTAATCCACCTGCTGAGCGTCGCAACTACAACTAATATCTCCCCTACGGCACAACCTATCGAAAAGGCACATATTCATGTTTCAGCAGTGAAATTTTGATGGGCTGTGATGAATAAAAGCTTAATTTGCAAGGTAGCTTTTCCAGGATCATGCACCACAAAGGAGGCATTAGGAAGGTGTTGGCTATCGCTGTTAATAAGCTTTGTGGTTTCATGGTGGTATCGCTGTTAATAAGTGTGAAAAACGGGCACACATTCCACCTGATTGGAAGAGATTGCTGTAGCTCATAGACATCTACATCTATCCTCGATTACGAATCAAAATGTAGATGCTTTGTCACCCGTGAGGACTTTGATGGAATGCCTTGTTTCTAGTACAAATGATCTCCGGTTCTTTACAATCATCACACGCACAACTTAGCAGCGTCAAGCTGCTATTATACATTGGTATTCTGTGAGAGCGTGATCATTCCCCGGTCGAGCCGACCCATTCGTGCTACAAATGTACTAGTAATATAGCTGCAGCATGGCTTATGTAGAGGTACCAGCCGAATAATTGGGCTGGTCAGGATCAAAGTCATTATCAATGGTAAAGGTTCCTCCGGATCGGTAGTAACAATAGACGTCCCTCAGGGTCCAAAACTCGGCGCATTCCTGTTCTTAATCTCTATTATTGACTTCCCTCATCTTGTAGGGACAATCACGATATAGTATTATTTACTCATGTGTAGTATTGCTTGCTCTTTAGTTTTTAATTTCAAATGGAAATGGCAGTCAATTAATTTTGACAATGTAAATAATGTTCTATCGAAAAAACTACATTGATTAACTGCCAAAAATTAACTCTTAAACGACCATAAGGCAAAACTTATTAAATTTACAATATCAAAAATTAATGTTAAACATTTGAATACAAATGTGCTCTTAAATGGGGCGGAGTTGAATTTTGTGGATACCACTGTTTTTAATGGTATTACTGTTGACGCTAAGTTTTAGTGGGGCTCCAATATATCAAAACTAGCAGGCAGAATTAGTTCTGAAGCATATGCTATAAGAAAGATTAGAAGTCTCACCAATGTTTCACAGGTAGTATATTTTAGTTAAATTCATAGCGTTATGTCTTAATTTAGCTATAAAGTAATGCGACTGATATTGCAGCCATATTTGTTTTACGAAAGAGAGCCGTACGAGCAATTTATACCTTAATATATACATATATATATATATATATATATATATATATATATATATATATATATATATATATATATAAACACTCACGCCTGTCACCCAGAGGGGTAGGCAGAGACTACAGACTTCCATTTGGCACGATCCTGACACACCTCTCTCGCCTCCTTCACATCCATACATCTACGCATGCATGCTCGTCGGTTAAGGGTACTCCTAATTTGGCCCGTTTTCAATAAATCGCCAATTTGGTCGATAAATTTTCGCCTAGGACGTCCCTTTCCGACTCTGCCATTCACTTCTGCAACATAAATTTTCTTTGTCACTCTTTCCTCATCCATTCTTTCCACATGACCAAACCACCGAAGCATTCCTTTCTTAATCCTGGTCACAACATCATCTTGCAAACCACACTCTTCTCTTATCACACAATTCTTCACCCTGTCATTCAGATTCAGCCCTAACATACTCCTTAACGACCGCATTTCTACTGCATTTATTCTACTCTCGTGCTTCTTCTGCCACACCCAACTTTCACTACCATATGTTAAAGTAGGGACCAACACAGCATTGTGAATTGCCATACGTGCCTTTTTTGACACATTTTGACTCTTCACAATAGAGTGCAGGGCCCCATTTACTCTGTTTCCTGCGTTCACTCGTCGTTCTATATCCTTATCATATCTCCCATCCCTGCTAAATTATACCTTAAATAGGAATGATTTCCTTGGAGAAAAGTTTATATCATTAAAAATATAACTTAAACCAAGACTTGCAACTCTGTTGTGAGATCCATGTAATACCAAGTCGGTTAATTTATTCAGTCTCTACTTAAAGGTCCTTCTATCTTAAGTTATTGCGTACTAAGCTAACCTAACAACATCTTACAGTGACTTTATCAATATTAAACATCTTATATATTTCAAATAATTAGATTAACTTGGCCATCGCATGAAAATAAAATGTATCTCACAAGTAATACATAATTATATTCAATTAGATTGTGTAGTGCGATTGCCAAGTCTGGATGGCTCATTGAGTCTAGGGCTAAAGCAGCCGCAAATAAACTAGGTGACCTCGCAAGGGTGCGGCAACACTTCACACCGGGACAGTTTCTTACTCTATATAAAACACATGTCCGGTCTTACATAGAGTATTGCTATCACTCATGGACTGGTACTGCAAAATAACATCTAGCAGCATAAGACATGCTGAGAGGCTCATTAGTAACGTTTATTTAGTTAAGAGCAATCTTTTGGGTCGAGGCCGAAAATGTACAGGCGCTGAGTAAAGCGGGCTACATACGAGACGATATCGGTGGCGATCTAGGGTGGAAAGAAATCGGGGTTTTTATCGAGGCAGACCCTACACACGGGCCTGCTTAGCAGTACGCGTTTGGACTTGGAGCGGAACGCATATGCGGTAGAGTTCTTCAAAATACCTCCGACTCTCTTAAAATACCAACGTGTTGGTTTGGAATTAGCCATCTTGGTTAATTTATTCGAAAATAGAAAAAGAGGAGTTGCTGGGTCAAAAAATGGCTCCAAAAGAGACAAAAATTAAGCCACATAAACGTAATAAATGGTCTGTAATCCAAAGATATGGTTAATTTTCTCCGGATACATGAAGACAGTTTTTACAACCTTCTAGAAATTTTTCTATATTTATGATTTCGCAACTTATATAAAATCATCAATTTCTCCTACTTATGCTATTATTATATATTTATTAATATGGAATATAGTTATTTCTTTTCTTTTTTCATTTCTGCTTTGGTCAAAATCGGGTTATGTACTACACAACAAACAAGGAAATAAAATACTTTTGTATAATAATATGTATACTTTTTTTAATGTAATCTTTATTTATGGATTAAAACTATCAAAAAATAAAATAGCTTATATCTTTTTTAAATAAAAAAACCTTTAATTTCGGACGTACTCCCTTCTATATAGCTTGTTTGTTGATGTGGAGATGGTAAAGGAGTAGGAGTTAGTTGTTGATGAGAGGATGAAGGCACGTAAGAGATCTGAGTGCGGTCTTGTGTTGATAGCGTTGGAATAGGAGTTAATTGTTGAGGAGAGGCTTTATCCTCTCCTTACTTACTTCATACACCCTACTTTATGAACGGCAAAAAAACAGTTAGTTTAGTAGGCTTTCTTGACTTCGCCAGATCACGAGCTAGGGTGGATATGGTTTGAATTTCGATAGATTTTAATTAATTTATTTATTATTTTTTTTTTCTTGTTTTTTTGTAAAATATCAGTGCCATAGGCTTCTACTCCGTTCACATGTTTAAAATGTAAAAATTTTGTTATGTAAAAAAGGTCATTCAGTATCACCGTTTCGTTAACGTCCATCCGCGAGGGTTGCCGGCAGCGACTGCCAAAAGAAATCGGACTGATGCGCCTACGCACACGCAGTACGGAGGGGGCGGGGTCCCGATCTAGGAAGCATCGGCTGCATTTTTGCTCCTGCCAGGCAATTAGAGGCAATCTAGGAGGCATCCCCACTACTCCACCCTAGATCGCTACCGACATCATGTCGTATGTAGCCCGCTTAAGCAACCTCTTGTTACTATATGGGTTGCATTTGGTTGCAGAAATAACATACTTTAATTCCTCCCTCTTATTTCCGCCATCAAACAACCAGGCGTTCCGTCGGTCTTCACCTCTTTGTTACCAATATTCCACGCATTAAAACCAACAGTTTGCCTCATATTTTGTTATAATACGTACAGCAAAAACAGTGGAATATTTTCCGGCGTCCGTCTTCCCATCCGAATAGAATCTGAGCGTATTAAGGGTGAGAGCGAATATGATTGTGTTACGCTAAGACCGTGCGATTTATTATCTAGACCTTCATCACCACCTACCACCAGGTGCGATTGTGGTCAAGCACTGGCTTACAATAAGTAAAAGTAGAAGTGAGCTATAGATATTTTTTAATACAATAAGGGTGACAAACTAGCATGCAGTCCACCTGATGTGGCCCATAGACATCTACATTTATCTTCAATTACGAATCAACATGCAGATGCGTTGCCAGTCCTGAGGACTGAGATGGAATACCTTATTTTCAGTAAAAGAGTCTCCAGTTCTCTACACTCACCATACGAAACACAACAGCATTAAGCTGCTATTTTACGCTGGTATTCTGTGAGAGCGTGGCCCTACCCTGCTCGAACCGACCCATATGTGCTGCAACCACAATATAACTGCAGCATGGCTCTACTACGTATAGATAAAAAATATGCCATTTATATTTCTTTATTTTTTCTTATTGTTGCTTTTTTCTTTGATTTTCTTACATAGGTTCGTACGATACTTTCTCTTCCATTCTCGGGTTATTCCTTTCTTTCTTTCCTTCTTTTGTTTTTCTTATAATTATAATGTTACAATTGTTTTGACAATTTTTTCCTCATCTCAAATCTGTGAAATGCTGATATACAATAGAATTTTTGAATGTATTTTCCACAATCAGTCAACATGGGCCTCTTCATGGTCAATGTGTTTTGTTTTCAAAATTAAGGTTAGTAAATATTTTGATTATGTTAAACTTAATAAGTGTTCTAGACCATCTTCCGCTAAAACATCTTTTTCTAATAAGTAAGTTAGAAGTCAAGCACACTAACGCTCTTTGCTAACGGAAGTGCAAGTGTACCAATTGTTTTTAACTATTACTTATAGTAACTCCGAAATTTTGTTAACAGGTTATGGCCGACGTATTCAAGCGCTCACAATAATATTGGCACTCTACTTAGTGGATCAGAAAACGCAGAATACCATTTTCTGCAGGCAATCAAGTTCAACAAGCACCACGCTAATGCGCATTACAATCTTGGAAAGTTATACAAGTAAAGAAAACGAAACTTTTAAATATCTTTTTTTCACTTTTCTCTTTAACTTTTTATATTAAAACGTTAGCCACACAGTGGCATTTTTTTATTGTAGAGTCGGGTTCGAGTTTTTATACATGAATTGAATATATAAAACACATCCAGACCCAGAATAATAATTTGTAGGTCGTAAAAGCGATTTTTCCGTGCGTGATTCGAACCCACGGTCCACTGCTCTGCAACTAAACGCATAGCCATTGCACTACTAGGCTATAAAATATTGTTCGTATTTAAAATATCTTGGGTGTTATCAATGTCTTCATCGGATTGTAAGCAATTCACTTCTGACTATGAAATTTTCTATCATATAGAAGTGATGCCAATATCGATATTTTGCTACAGATGTATACACTATTTCCCCACTAGTTGGCGTTACGTAAAATTTGCGTGCTATTTAAACAGCTAGGGTACAATGTCCATTTCTTAGTTCTCGACAAATAACAATAATTGTTATGGAGATTAAAAACTATGCACTGTTCACTTACAGTTTTCACACACTATTAAGTTTTCGTTTATTGGTGTATTGTTCAAAGATTATTTACTATCATAATTTCTTCTTATGACAGTTTAAAGCTTCAACACTGTTAATTAATTCACCATATATTTTTGACTTATTTCTCCAATTTTTTACAAACATATTAATTACTGTTTACTTATCTCTTTATCTATTACTTTATCATTGTAAATTTTGATTGAATATTATTGTTTATTGTTTTTAAACTAATTAAAATTAAGAGCTAATGTTTACATGGACAGCGCACACTGACAACGTTTTTCATATGATAGATATATAAGATTAAACTACATTTGATCCAAGTTATTTTGTCTTAAATATTCAATAAAATCTAAAATTTAAATGCTTTGTAAATATCAAAGAGTTAAAGTTTTAATTTAGCCTTGATTTTAAAGCTACATATTTTTATCTTTTAATGATGACTAGTTTTGTTGTACGGTGGCGAGTTTGTAAGAGCATCTGGTGGGTGTGTAACATTTGACTATGGGAAACACAGGAATAATTTTAAGCTAGGCTTTTAATACACAGAACACCAGGGCAAAATCTTCAAGGGTTCTAAACATCTGGTAATGTGATAGTCAATCCATCTCCCAAGCGTGACGAAGGCAAACAATTAGAAAGACCAATGTCAAACTGTGGTTTTTCACAGACAGATGAAATATATTGCAATTATTAATTAGGAACCTAAGTTACTTCAGTGTTATATAATTACGGTTTATTATGCACTACATTTCAATTTCAACTTAATTTTGTTAATTTCTAGAAAAATTGGGCAAACAAATGAAGCCATCAAAATGCTAGAAAAATGCATACTTCTTAGCCCTAAGTTCGTTCAAGCTCAATTAGAACTTATCTCACTGACACCAGAACCAGAAAAGCGAAAGATGTTATTGAGATTAATAGAACTGGATCCAGATAATTGGGAATTTAATGTTTTATATGGAAATTGGCTGAAAGAAAAAGGTAAAATATAATTCCAAATTGTTAATAAAATTGAAAATTATTATTATTTATGTCTCACTGATGGGCATAGGTCTCTTCTCATTTCTAAAATGGGTTGTGATGCAATTAAGCATCGGCTTATCTTAAGAATGGCTGAACTTATTATAATTAAATTTTACCAACGGATATAGGGCAATACCAGTAGTCATCTAATCTACATAATTCATCATCATTCATTATTACAGCCCTTCACAAGTCCACTGCTGAACATAGGCCTACCCCAAGTAATGCCACAAAGCACGGTCCTGAGCCACCTGCATCCATCGACTTCTAGCCACTCTTCGACCAGTCGTCACTCCATCTAGTGGGGGGTCGCCCTACACTACGCCTACCGGTACGAGGCTGCCACTCGAGAACCTTTCTTCCCCATCGGTTAACGGTTCTTCGAGCTATATGGCCGGCCCATTGCCACTTCAGCTTACTAATCCGTTAGGCTATGTCGGTCACTCTGGTTTTACTGCGGATATCCTCATTTCTGAGTCTATCACGCAGTGAAACGCCGAGCATAGCCCTCTCCATAACTCGCTGAGCGACCTTGAGCGTCCTCATACGGCCAGCAGTGAAGGACCACGTCACAGATCCGTAAGTCATCACTGGCAACACGCACTGGTTGTACATTCTAGTTTTTAGAGATTGAGGTATACCTGACGAGAACATATGTTGTAATTTCCCGAACGCTGCCCAGCCGAGTAGAATCCGTCGATTGACCTCTCGGTCGAAGTTGTACTTGCCTAGTCGGACTATTTGTCCCAGGTAAACGTACTCGTCAACAACTTCGAGCATAGTGCTCCCAACAACTACCGGCATAGGTGTGACATGGACATTAAACATAATCTTTGTTTTGTCCATGTTCATCTTAAGACATATCACAGAATACCAGCGTGAAATAGTAGCTTAATGCTGCTGTATTTCGTATGGTGAGTGCAGAGAACCGGAGACCCTTTTTACTGGAAACGAGGCATTCCATCTTAGTCCTCACGGGTGAAAACGCATCTGCATTTTGATTCGTAATCGAGGATAGATGTAGATGTCTATGGGCCACAGCAACCACTTACCATCAGGTGGACTGTGTGCTCGTTTGTCACCCTATCCTATAAAAAAAAATAAGACCTATCCGTTGGAAGGCACTATTGAGTTATTTGAGCATAGTGCTTAAGTCCACCAGCGATTCTGCCATAAGGACTATATCGTCGGCAAATCGAAGGTGAGTGATGTACTCGCCATTGATGTAATATCGTATCCTTTCCAGTCCAATAGCTTGAAAACGCCTTCCAATGTAGCGGTGAAGAGTTTCGGGATATAACGTCACCCTGTCTTACACCTCTCTGCAGTTGGATAGGTTTGGAGCTCTGGTTCTGTACTCGGATAGCCATCGTAGCCCTACTGTATAAACACTTCAGCACTTCGATATACTGACAGTCAACTTGGCACCGCTGAAGGGACTGTAGCACCGCCCAAATTTCGACGGAATCAAAGGCTTTCTCATAGTCCACATACGCCAGGAAAAGTGGCAGATTGTACTCTTCAGTCTTCTGTACAATTTGCCGCAGGGTATGTATGTGGTCTATGGTACTGAAGCCTTTTCGGAAACCGGCTTGTTCGGGATGGCTCGGTTGGAAGTCGTCGAGTCTGCGTGCGAGACGATTCTTAATGACTCTCGAAAACAGCACGTAGACGCGGCTCAGAAGGGAAATCGGTCTGTAGTTCTTCAAGAGAGCGTTGTCGCCTTTCTTAAATAACAAAACCACCGCACTTCTGCTCCACGCCTCTGGAGTAGTGCCACCATGGGGGGACGGAATTGAAGAGCTTCTGAAGGACTTCAAGTACCGGTGTTCCACCCGATTTCAGAAGCTCCGCTGTAATTCCATCCTCGCCTGGGGCCCTGCCGTTTTTAAGGTGCTGGAGAGCCATTCTAATCTCGCTTAGACTGACGTCCGGGATATCATCGGAATAGTGTCGGATAAGACTTGCTCTTGGATCGTTACTCACACTTGCGTGTGGCTCCAACGATGATGTGTACAGCTGCCCATAGAACCTCTCAATCTCACTCAAAATCTCAAGTGTCCCGGAAACAATGTTGCCACACTCAGTCTTCAGCTTTGACAGTTGGCTCTTACTGGCAGACAGATCTCTGGCAAAGACTTTGGAGCCCTGGTTCCGCTCGATCGCTTCTTTAATACGAGCAGTATTAAAGTTGCGTAAGTCTCGCCGCATGCATTTGGAGATCTGTCTGTTCAGTTGCCTGTATGCTGTCAAATCTGTTGACGATTGCAGCCTCATCTCCCGTCTAACAGCCATGAGATTAAGAGTGTGATCGGAGAGTTTTTGTGTTCTTCTGCGGCGGGTCTTGCAGAACTTAGCTCCGACCGCATGGACAGTTTCCACGAGCTTGTCAATCATATCGTCCACTGCATTGCAATCTTGTAGGCACTGAAAGCGGTTACGTAACTCGAGCTGAAAGTTTTCGGGATTCTGGATTAGAGCACGAGGGGGACGGAGCGTTGAATTCATTAGACGAGACCTCTCCAACTTAACGTTTAGGTTCAGTGTGCCTCTAACCATTCGGTGATCGCTGCCAGTTTTCACCCTTCCGATCACTGAGACATCACCGAACAGTTGGCGTCTGGTCGTCATAATGAAGTCAATCTAGCCGTGTAGTGGCGGTAAAGAATATCCACTACCCCATATCTTCCCGTGGGTGTCGTAAAAGGCGACAGAGGGAAACAGGCAGGAGATGAGCAGCAGCATCTTCCTGATAACAGCAACTGTACGACAAAAAAAACTGCGGTTGCCAACCCGCTCTCCAAGCGTGGCAACTATGGCAATATACCCCCCATGAACAATACAAACACAAATAGACGGCCCCAGTCCCCGGCGGCCCCGCTATTCCTGTGGCAGGGGGTGCTAAGAATCTCCGGTGGAGGTTCGGTTGCCACCTATGACGACTCGACCTGGCAACATTTAACGCACGCACCCTGAGGACTGACGAGAAGATCCTGGAGCTGAAAGAAGAGATAGACAAGTTGCGCTGGAATATTATAGGATTATCCGAGGTCCGAAGGAGGGGGAGGACACGGTGATTCTCGAATCCGGCAACTTGTTCACTGATGTATCACCGGGAGGGCGACCATCTGTCCCAAGGAGGTATCGGATTTATCGTCCACAAGTCTCTCGTCAACAAAGTTGTAAAGATTGGGAGTGTGTCAACGAGGGTCGCGTACCTGATACTCAGAATCACCAAACGGTAATCGCTGAAGGTCATACAGGTTTACGCACCAACCTCGGCACATCCCGATGAGGAGGTGGAGGAAATGTATGAGGATATTTTCAAAGCCATGCATTCCTCCAAAACCCACTACACGGTGTTGATGGGAGACTTCAGTGCAAAACCAGGCACAAGAGAAAACGTTGAGCTGAAGTTAGGGAAATTTGGAGTAGGGCAACGGAACCGAAGGGGCCAGCAGCTGGCCGAATTTATGGAGAAAGAGGGACTCTTTATGATGAACTCTTTCTTTCAGAAGCGGCCCCACAGGGAAGTGGACCTGGTCGAGCCCCGACGGTTCGACAAAAAATGAGATCTACATACTTACATCAAAAAAAATATTTTCTAAAAAAATTATTTAAACCAAAGGTTTTTATATCTTAAATCTGAATAAAGCCACATCAATAGACACTATTCAGCCAAAGCCGGGACGTGTCATGCTGCACCCCATCTAGTTTACCAATGACGTTGGTGGCGGCGTCTGCGATGGTGCTGAGGGATTCCTCCAATTGCACTTCGGCACACACTTCCTGGCTTGCACTCTGAACCTGTAACGGTACGAACACAACCAGTTCGGACAGTCAATGTTAGTTTTGAAAATAAATTAAGAAGATATTGATAATAAAGGAATTTAAATCGTGTCTACTCTTACTGGTACCAAGTTGTCATGAATTTGAATCGCCCTTGACATAAAACCGGCCGCTAGATAAAAGTTTACTGCCTTTTAGTGGTATTTATTGATATATCAATTTGATAGAATGTCAACAAAAAACAACAATAAATTTGGAAATATCCTTCGTGGACCTATTATGGTTTACGTTTTACTCAATTTACGTTTTTTAACCTCAATATCCTACTTTCATACCAGCTGACATTTAATTCCTTATTATATTTTATTATTTAGGGCTTGCTGGACCTGCATCCAAGTTCTACCTTGAAGCAACAAGGCTTGCATTCAAAAAACGAAATATCAAAACTTTATTAAGGGGGGATCTCATTTCATTTCGATCTACTGCTTTGATGTATAGAAAACTGGGACAAAAATCAAGGACTTTGCAACTTTTGATCAGGTCAGAATACAACCGTTGTACTTTTATAATATTTTGAAACGATATAATAATAATATTTGTGTTATGCATTTCTTCTTTATCATATCAAACATCACGTAAAAGTCTACTACTGATTTTTTATTCGTCATATTTGATAGACGAGTTGACTGTCGCAGTCCCAGACGCTTTGACTATTGACTGTGCGTCGTCGCTCTTAATATTTTACATCTAACGAAAAAGAGATAGTTGTATCTGAAGCCACGTGCATGATTTTTCTAATATTTCTCACAGTCGCCTTTTAAGAATCCATTGGGTTGAAATTCGGTTCTTATTTTTTTCCTACAACGCCACTTCATAACAAATAATTATTGTCATCGTAATCACATTGTTATCAGGTATCTTTGATATTATTAATATTTTATTTTCATTGATATCAAATTTTCAAAAGCATTTCTATTAACCGCTTATTTGAAAATCATTAACTGCTTTTCAGTAGAGAATAAAATATATATAACGTTTTTTATATATATTTTAAAACGTTTATATTTTTTGATGTAAATCTAAGTTGATACGATTACGTAGGAAAAGCGAGACTCTCCCAACACAAGTATCTTATGATTACTTTCTGGGAGGCCTCGGCAAATAGCTGTAAAATGATTTACTGAAATAAAACATTTTTAATTTTTTTTAATTTTTAATATTTATCATATAAACATTTTTAATCTATACTGAAACTCCTTTTTGTTTATATTTTAACACACATAGGAATGAGATTATTATTTCTGCATCTCTTTAAAAAATGAAATATGATTAGATTGATGAATTAGAGATGATTGAAGATATCTTAGGATCTTAAGATCTTCTAATTGGTGAATTTTATTTGCTGTTACCTGTCTGTACCTATAGGTTCACACAATGGTTGCTTATATTTACACGAATACTACACATTGAATAAAACGTTTAACACGGATTGTATCGCGTTTAGTTAAAATACTTTTGAATAACGACGTTTTGGGTGCTTTACCTGAGATCTTTGACGTAAAATTACACAAAATTACAAAATTAAATCCAAAACCAAGCATAACACTGCAAGACTTCAACATACTGTAAACTTGTTCTGCGTAGATCTGACCAAAAATTAATATTCAAACTATGATATTAGGATGTTGAAATTCTTAGTCTCCCTGTGACTACGGCTGCTATTAAGCACCCGACACGCCAGGAATAAAAAAAAGTTAATTAAACGCGACAAAATCCATATAAATAGTTTCATCCAGTGTGTAGTGTTCGCGTAAATATAAGAAATCGTCGTGGTTTTTAGTATTTATAAACATATTAATAAAAACATACCCTTATTATTTTTTCTGCTTTAGATGGCAAACGTGGCGTAGAGGATGGTCCAATACGGCCGTTGTTCACTTGTACTTGAGAGATTGGAGTCTCAAAATGGAATTGAAAGGTCGAGTTCAAATCTACAGTAAAGCAGCCAATCCAATCGTAATTATCTAATTTTTAAAATGAGTATTTGTAAAGTACTTGAAACATTGTAAATATTTTTTGTATCATAGTGACAAACAAGCTAACAGTTTCCTGTTGGTAAATTTCTTCTTCAAACGGTAGACCTTTACAACGAACTACCAAAATAAGATGGAATTCTTTACACATCTGTTTAAAGTGATTCCCTTTCCTTTAAACTAGAACAAAGAACTAGGTGCAATTCTGTGTTCTAGTTTTAAGGACACAGAACTAGGTGCAAACCATTTGTTTAACTAGCAGTACGATTGGTTGTAGATTATTTCCCATGGAGTGTAGACACCTGACATTATTCCAAACAATCTTCTAGAATAGAAAAATATCTTGTATTTTTAATTAATTATAAAATGTATTCCGTTACTCTTTGCTGTGAGTAACAACACTAGTCAGTGTGGCTATAGATCATAAAACGAATTTTTAGTTCATTCAATCTGGGGTTCTTAGTCAGCACTTAAAATTTCAAACATTACTATTTATCGGTGTTGGTTTTGTCATTGATTGAAGTGTGCACTATTTTTGTTACTTGTTAAAGTTTAAGGGTGTTAAATATTATGCATCATAGGTGATTGTCCACTTGATGATTAATATCTTAGTTAAAAAACTTTATTTTTTTTTACACAGAAATCTACAACATGCTTCGACCACTCACAGTTGAATATAGATGTTGGACAATCAAAGAATAAAGAAGACCGTAAACTTAAGGAGTATAATTTTTATAATCATGATCTTAAATCAAAAAGTGTGAAACAAGAAGATATAAACAAAAGTAAAAAAACTAGTGACCGCGCGTGTAATATAAAAAAGGTTAAAATAGAAAAACATAGCCTATCAATTTCCACTCAAATCAAAGTTACTCAAAATAAGTCCGAAATCGAACTTAAAGGCAAATATTTTTCAATGCACAGAAAACAAAAAAATGCCAAGTACAAAAATGTCATTCCAAAGCACACAGCACAACATTCAGAGCTTATTAAAACGTTTTAGATATAAATCTCTGTTGGTTTAAAAAGTTTCATTCTTTGTGATAATGATGAATGATGTATCTGACTGATATAATGCTAATTGTATTTATGACTTAACTGCATCTGAAATAATTCAGAATAGTTGTAAAAGTTTGTTGACAATATCGCAATTAATATTTAAGACAATTTAATTTTATTTTAAGGTTATACATTAGGTAAGCAAGTTTGTTACTTATCTACTTAAGAATTGCAGCACTTGCTCTGCAGTTTCAACTATATAAATTGCTCTAAATAAAACGATACAGATTTCAAAACATACTGATAATATTTAAAAAAATTTACTTCATTTTGAAAAGACAAAATAAAAATATATTTTTAATATTGGTTTAAATGCTTGTGAAATATCTAATTTTAAATCTAAAACTAATTTAAAACTAACAGTTTGTTTAGGAAAGTTAAAAGATATGTTTTATTTTTGACCGAGAAAATGTCGATTTCTTTCGATTAAAGTTAAAAGTTAAAGTTACAGCCTATATACGATCCAAACCAGGGCACAGGCCTCCTCTCATTTCTGAGCTGGTTTTAGGGCAAGGAGATGCCCGCCGCGCTGCAGCAATGCGTGTTGGCGAACTTCACATATCTTCGAAATATTTTTTCTTATTTCTTAGACATGCAGGTTTTCTCACGATGTTTTCCTTCACCGCAGAGCACGTGGTAAATCAGCATTTAAAATTGTAATTAATAATTTCATTGGTGCCAGCGGGAATCGAACCCGGTTTGCTCGCGTATTGTGAAATTTACAGCGAGCGCTAACCATCTGAACTACCACCAACTGGCTCTTTCGATTACAAATTGATAAAAGCACTGTTTTTACGCTAGTTTAAGATATTATTATAATTCATGTACACAAAGCAGCGCTCTCTTCTGGATTAACCATATTTGATTCGTTTTCTATAAAAACCTTTTTTAATATCAGTATTGTGGCTATACGATACTCCAATAAATTTTAAGTTTCTAGTATCATCCTTTAAATTTTGTAACACAGAATATTTAATGTCTGATACACTCCGGTGAGGTAACTCACTAATTTGACTTCGCTTTGAAGTTTCTGTTTTATCTCAACTTTTATTTTTTATTTATAATTTCAAAGCTAAAAGGTAAATATATATTAATTGTATAGTGTTTAGTTTGTGCTTTCATGTTGTTATTTTTAAACAAATATATTATTTTTTATGAAATAGAACACCAGCACCCTGTTCTCGGAGCTGGAACTTTGCTAGTTTATTAATAATGCTTTGACTTAAAATGAATATTCTCATATAACAGCACAAATTTATTAATAAACATTTGAACGAATTTTACTAACTGTAAATGGACGAGTATAAAATAATATTTCAAATGACTTCAAAACATTATCCAAATCTGGAGATTATAATTGTGAGTCAGTTACAATCGCTAGATTTTAATAATGTAACTGAATGTTTATGTTTGTCTGAAATAAGGTGTACATGATAATATTATAAATATAAAATAAAGGCACCCAGAAATGCTTTGAATGTAACGAGAATAAATCATTAAATTTTTGTGATAGTTTTATTTAAACCATTATTATACCCAGCACTTGTTTAGTTTATAAAAATATAATTAATTCTACTAAACGTAAATAATATTCTTTATAGAAGTAAAATAACGAACGAGCACAAAGCTCACCTAATATTAAGTAGATCATATTTATCCTAAATTAAGCATCAAAATACAGATATGTTGTTTCACCTTAAGGCTTAGGAAATGCCTCGTTACCTGTATACAAGGATTTTCAGTCCACAGAGCAATAAAAATAAAAAGAAAAAATAAGAATCATCGAAGTGAAACACCAAGTGATTTTCACTTTTTGGTTCTACGGCTCTTTTGAGTGTATTTAAAAAAAATCACAAGCTTAATACCCCCCCCCCCCCTCCTAATTGAAGTCGGCTAAAACAAAAATTCTCTATAATTGATTAAAATTTAATTTAATTTTTTTTATTTTTTTATTAATTTTATTTTAAATCATTATTTTTTATAAAGAAATCTTTTTACCCACTGCCAAGGAAGGGTATATATTATATATATTTGTTTGTAATTTTTTTTATTACCTGGTATCTTGCAAACGACTGGATGGATTTCGACAGTTAAGGTACCGTTATATTTGTCTTAAAAATCCAAGTATCATTAGATAACTGTTTGCAGAAGAAAAATGACGGATTTTTGGCGCGAAATAGTAATACGTTAATTTAAAAAAATTAACCAAGCCTATTGAGTAAGGTATCAAAATAAAGCAAATTAAAAGGGGATTACAAAATTATAAAATACAACATAGGAGTGTGGCTGGGCACTAAAACGTTTAAAATAAAATAAATAATTAAAGAAATCAAAAACCCGCCCGCAAAAAGACAACAATGTAATGCACTAAAACGCTTCGACCTTTTTAGTGAATTACTATCAAATTGTAAGGACAATTAGCAATTAGGTTTTTGAATTTTTAATTATTTATTTTATTTCATTTTTTTAATTCATTAAATTACATGTTCATCAAGGGTATATGCCGTATGGTAACAACAGCTCTAAAACCATCTTGTTTACATCAGAAGTTACATCAAGCCAAAAAGAGCAGTGTTGACGGTATGAGACGCCTGGTACAGCGATAGTTATCCACCTGCCAATTGTCACGAGGTAAGTTTTTCCACAATAAGAAAAGCCTATAATGGTCTACTAAAAACTCTAATTATACAATTTTACAAATCATACATGTGTTTCCTATTATCATGCACAGTACTTTGGCTTATTAGTTAACTAAATCAAACAAACATTGATCTAAGACTAGGCAATATTATACAACTGCTACCCTGATAAAATAAATTAGTTCTATTATACTGGAGTAACTGCTATGTAAGTTTTTTTAATTTGTGGACAATGATTTCGACATAAATGGACACTTGTAACTTAGGCTTTGCATTACATGTGGCGTTCACGGTAGTTATCCGTATCTAAAGAATGAATCTGAAGCTGAAACGGAGAAAATAATACCACTGTAGCATCCTTGTAGCATCTAAATTTAGAAACGTATTTAGTGAATTTGCATTGGTATAAAACGATACTATAACTTAACAAAGATGACTTAATAACATAAAAACAAATACAAATACATGACAAATCAAATTTAGAAATGCCAGCTTAATGCTGCTGAGTTTCATGTGGTGAGTGCCCATTGCCACTTTAGCTTACAAATTCGTTGGGCTATGTCAGTTACTCTAGTTCTACTGGAGATATCCTTGTTTTTGAGTTTTTCAAGCGGAGAAACCCTGAAGATAGCGCTTTCTATAGCTCGCTGATCGACCTCGAGCCTCCTCATACGGCCAGCAGAAGGTCTCAGATCCATAGGTCATCACTGATAACACGCACTGGTTGTACAATTTTGTTTTAAAGTTTTGAGTAGCTCTATAAAGATTGTGCAGCAGTGGAAAGTCAGCAGAAACCTAAAAATTGTATCCAGGAATTTGTAGCCAATTTGTTGCTAATTAGTTGCCAAATTTGAGATTTAGTTGCTCCAACCGATTTTGAGAAAATTGATTTATCTTTATATTAAGTTAGAAGTAAAAATTTAAAATATACCCCATCGTAGCGGATAAGATGGGATGATTTGTTGGTATTTAGTTGCTGAAATATAATGCAAAAATAATATAAAAATACAAAAAAAATCTTGGGTTTTTCATATTATAAAAAATTACTAGATTTAAAGTTGTGTTTTCATAATGATTCTGAAGTTCCAAATTAATAAGTATTTTGCTGCTGATCAATTAGTTAGCAATTATTTGTGTAAATGCAAAATTTACAGAAGTTTTTAGTTAAAAAACGGCAGATATTGTAATTACTAACTTATTACTTCGTGAAGCTTACTAAGTGCTACGTGCTACTTTCTCATAGTCCACACAAAAGAAAAAGTGGTAGATTGTACTCTTTGACGCCAACATCAACGTGGAGTTGTGCAATTGAATAAAATCAATCTAATATGTAAAAATATATAAATAAAGGTAGCGTTCAGTCCACTTTCAGCATACAATTTCCAAGTGAAGTAAAAAAATTTCTATCTGAACGTTACATCTGTATCCTTGAAGTAGTATGGAGGATTTTTTCATTCAGTGTGCATGACCGGGCTCCCACGATTATTCATCTTGCAGTTCGTTTGGAAAATGGACGAAGGATATATTTCACTAAGAGTAATATTCTAGAAGTTTTTAATAACCCACGGGATACAACATTAACAGCATTCTTCAAGCTCAAGATGATTTCACGAAAACACTTACTTATGACAAAGTTCTAATTTACATATGAAAAAGTTACCATATTAAACTATACTATAGTCAAATCTACTAGTAAAATAGCATTAGCCGTAGCATCGTCCGGTATTACTGCTCCACTTTTAGAAGTAGGTCAAAACTCCAATTCAAACTCCAGCTAAAGATGCACCATGTCAATCGAGAATTCCGTGATAGCATTGGATAGAACAATGTGCGATTTCCACTGGAAATACTCGCCAATAGGTGTATGTACAATTTTGTTCTCAGGTGACTTTCGTCCAACTCTACTAGTTGTGTATTAGAGGTACACGTACTGATGAAATAAATGCCTCATTAAAAAATCTTACCTGAAACATGAAAGTTTTGTTGTCTTCATGTGAGAATAGGCTTTTTTCAGAGATCATGCTCAAAGTAGGCAATGGAGATCTAAAAAAAAAATAATAGAAGGATTAACCTAGACAATCAAAAAATTTGTGTTTTAATAAATAACATTCAAGAGGTGGTAAACAGTGTCTATCGTGACATTGATAACGTAAGTTGTAAGACTATATCTTGGTTCAAAGAAAGGGCGATCTTATCACCTACTGACGAACAGGTAAATAGGGTGAATAACTTGATTATTTCAAAGATTGATGCACCGACGATAATACTACTCGGTCGATTATGTAACTTGGTGTATGTGAAGTAA